TGTTTGAAGTTCATTCAATTTCTTGAATTCATATTTTTCTCCTTTTACATATGTTTGGGAAATTATTTTCCAAAAATCTTTGCCTCTGTGCTATTCTTAGGTCTCTTCCTATTCTGGGATTTTAATTACACAGTTATTTTTCTTTAGGTCCCATATAAGTCTTCTCTTTTCTTATTTATTTTTCTTTTTCTTTCTGATTATCCCTCTGACAGATTAGTTTTGAGGAACTTGTCCTTCATTTCATTAATTATCTTTTTTTTAAAAAAATAAGTTTTTCTTTTATACTGGTTTACTTACTAAGTTTGTATACATTGTTTTCACACTGGATATTTCTCATATCCTTTATTAGCCCCTCCTCCTACTCATCAAATTATATAACTCTATGATTACTCCCTCGCCCGTCCTCACCCCTCTGCTCCTACCCTCTCGACCTTGGATCCTCATACACATTTTACTAGTTATCTTTCTATTTCTACAATAATGGTCTTATACAGTATTTGTCCTTATGGAACTGAGTTAGTTCACAGAGCATAATATTCCCTAGGCCCTCCCAAGATAAGTAGTAATTTTCAAAATAATTTCTCCTGCTTGCTTCATAGTATTTCACCATGTGGATGTACCATAATTTCTCAATCCATTTGATTGTGGTTGGACATTTGGGCTGTTTCCATGTTTTTGCTATGGTGAATAATGCTGCTATGAATATTGGTGTACAAATGTTTGTTCATGCCTCAGTCCTCATTTTCTTGGGGTATATTCCAACAATGGACTAGCTGGGTCATATGGAATTTCTATGTTCAGCTTTTTGAGGAAGCACCAAACTGCCGTCCAGAGTGGTTATACCATTTTACAATCTCACCAACAATGTAGAAGAGTTTCTATCTTGTCACATCCTCTCCAACATTTATTACTTGCTGTACAGTTAAACTTTGCCACTGCTGTTGAGGAGAGATGGTACCTCCTGGTTTTGATTTGCATCTCTCTTATTGTGTCTGTTGGCCATCTGAATATCTTCCTCTGTGAAAAGTCTTTCTATGTGTCTTGTCCATTTTATAATTGGTTCAGGGGGATTCTCTAAACTTTTGATAAGAGACCCTTATTGCCAAATATTTTTTTCCTCCAGTGAGTAGGTTTTCTTTTTACTCTATTGAAAAATATTTTTGATGCATAGAGTAATCTGATAATCTTCAGAAGGTCTCATTCATCAATTTTCTCTTCTTCAGATTGTGCATTTCTGGCTGTGTTTGGCAGTCTCTTTATACCACAAACTAGGCTGTCTAAGCTTGATCCCATTTGTCTCTGATGATCTTTATGGTTTAGGGCTTTCTTAGGTCTCTGATCCATCTTGAGTTCATTTCTGTGTCTGGTGTGTGATGTGGGTCTTGTTTTAGCTTTCTGCAGGTGGCAGTCCAGTTTTTCCAGCATCATTTGTTGAAGAGATATCATTTCTCTATTTGATAGGTTTCAATTCCTTGTCAAATATCAGTTGATCATAAAAGAGCATTATGGAATCCCTTCTTTCTAATCCTCCATTTTACCCAGAAATCCAAGCAGTTGTATTTAAGAATTCTGAGCATTTAACCTTTCAAAGGTATTTGAGGAAGCTTCAGTAAAGTACTGGCTTGAGTGCATTTTTAAACAAAAGTTTTAACATACATGATTTATAATTAATAAGATCTAAATTTTAAAATTTGTGGGATACATAGATTATTTCTTTCAGGGTCCCTCGACTTGATTTGGGAAGCCTTGTTGACTCTGATGATGAGGTAACTTTTACTTGATATTTAATATAATAAAGATTTGAAAATAGTGTTATATATTGAATGTACTAAGTACCAGTTAATTTTATTTTTAGGATTTTTAAAAAAATATTTCACTTAGTACATAGTGCATTTTAACCTACCAAGTTAATTTTATGCTCCTAGTTGTGTTACATGATTTCACATATCTTATGTTCAGCCTCATCTAAATGAATTGGTTGCTATTTATTTGCATATTACTAACTTTTGGAATTATGCTACATGTTGTTAAGCTCTATTTGTTCTATAACTTATTATATTCACTTTTCCCAATTTAAATGTATTATGTATAAAATCAAAATTATAATTTTGATGAAATAAGTTTACTTTGTTTTGCATTTTCCCCCTCAAAATGAGTCAGTAAACTGAAAAGGAATGAATTTTAACAATTTCTTATAAAATTGGTCAAGAACATGAATATCATAGAATGGAGTTCAGTCATTTTAAAAATACAGAATATTAGCCTAGATCCTACTAGTGTAACAATGTCAGACTGTATATTGTAAACAGATTCATACTTTGGGCGACTAGGATTATAATAAATAGTTGCTATGGAGTTGCTTCCAATCATAGCAGCTTTTGTGTTTATGACGTTAATAATTTTATAGGCATACCTTGTTTTATTGTGATTTACAAATATTGCCGTTTAGAAATTGAAGGTTTGTGGCAATGCTGCATTGAATAAGTCTCCCAGTGTCATTTTTCCAGTAAGCTCAGCCTTATGTTGTGTCCCTGTGTCACATTTTGATAATTCTTGCAATCTTTTAATTTTTTATAAAGCTTTTACACAGGGAGCTCTGGTGGCCTGGTGAATAAAGTGTGCTGCCATCCCAAAGACTTCTTATTTGAATCCACCTGCTACTTCATGGAACAAAGAAAGTTAGGCAGTCTCATCCTGTATAATGCACTGCCTCTGAAAACGCCTTGGAGGGTCAGTTGTGAGTGGATGGCAGTGAGAGAGAGATATATATTACACATTTACCATAGTATAAAAGGTGATTTTTGTATGTACTTAACCTCACCATTTATTCTAGCCTACGGAGACCCTTTGATGGCTTGTCTGTGGTTTTCTAAAAATACTAGCTTATTGACAAAATTTGAATACATTGATTTCGAGAACAGATTCTTCCAGTGCATTTTTGAGGCTTCAAATCTTGATGTGAGTAAGCAACCTCATTTTTCTTCTGCAGAGTGACTGATAGCAAACTATTCCCTTTCAGCAAAATTCTTGTTACTTTCTTTATTCTGATATTTGCTTTATTGCAGTAGTCTGGAACCAAACTTGTAATATCTCCAGGATATGCATGCACTTATCCCATGGTGTCTCCCTGTGATGTCTTCAAACAAAATCTGGTGTCTCTTTTCACATTAAGAGTAAAAAAAAATGTATTGCTCAGTGCTTGCTCATTTGTCTTTATGAATCTGTTTCCTGTAGCTGTCTTGATGTTTGCTTCAGTCTCATTTTGCATACATTTCCATTAATAGTACCTTCATTGGTATCTTGCCACAGATTTTGCCTTGAATCTTTGTCTCATTTTTTCCTAGGAGCTAATCTCTAGGATATTCTGAACACTTCAGACAGTTAGAATGGCTTTGTTATGCTCCTGGAGTATGTCTTTCTCTATCCACCACAATGTATGAGTGCGTTTGTAGTTCCTTAGTACTCTTAGTAGATGTTTTCTTTTCTACCCATGACAAATAGTATATGAATGTAGAATATTTCAGTATTTTAGAAGGAAACAGTGCTTCTCAACATTCAACAGCAGTTAAAACAATTCATTGCCATAGAGTCAAAATAAACTCATGGTTCACCTTCCAGCAAGTTTTCAGAGGCTGTAAACTGCAGAGGGTGGAGATAGCTCATTCTACTCCTGTGAAGCAGCTGGTGAATTTGAACCAATCCCCTTTGGGTTGGGAGCACAACTTCCTACCCAGTAGGCTCCATCAGTATTGATGTTCACTAACTCCCATGAAAATTCTGTAAGAAAGGATTATCAATAGAGTTCTTCTGGGGTAGAAAATAATAATTCCTATCTCACACTTCTGAGAAAAGTACAGTCATTTTTCCTCTCAATTTCTTTTAGAAACTAGAGCTGATACTCAGCTGATGAACAAGGTGCAGCCTTACAGCTGTTTTAGACAAGTACCTGTTCTTAGTAGTTTATCTGCTTTAGTGAGTCAATGGTGCTATTCCTACTCTAAGTTTAAAATACCACTTCTATTTAGAACACAAATTTATGGATCTGTTCCTTAGGTATAAATGCTAAGGTAAATAATAAACTGGCTACACTGATGTTTCAAATGTGGTAATGTTTACCCATGGTGGACAGGGTTTGGTGGAGCTCCCTGATTAAAACAAGCTTGGAAGCAGGAGTGGCATCCACTTCCATAATAGCTTGCCTCCAGAAACCCTATGAACCTGGAGAAAGGATGAAAAGTCAGAAAAGTGTTGAGGACTTTCATTTATAGGGTTGCTATGAGTCGCCTACAACTCGAGGGCACTTAATTAACAACAATAACACCAACATAGATAGAGATCAGTTGGCCTAGTGGAGAGAAAGTGATGGAACCAAGCCAAAGGTGAGTGACTTCTAATCTGCTGCCCCCAGGCCTGTTTTTCATTCATGGTTTTGTTCAAACATTCTCCTAGGTGGTATAGCCCTGATGTGTCCACTTGCTGTATAGAGCTAACTTGTGGTTGCTGTGAAGATAAGCACTGTGACACTGATGTGTCACATGCGTTAATGATTACCCATTGTGGATAGTGTTTGGTGGCGCTCCCTGATTAAAACAAGCTTGGAAGCAGGAGTGACATCCACTTCCATAATAGCTTGCACAGGAAACCCTGTGAACCATGAGAAAGGATGAAAGTCATACAAGTGTTGAGGACTTTTGTTCACAGGATCTCTATGAGTTGCCTACAACTCGACAGCACTTAACAACAACTGTGAATAAGCAGGAGAAGAATGGGCAATCTCTTCTCATGCGATTAACTGCCTCTGAAAATCCACTGAAGGGTCAGCTATTGGTTGGTTCTGACTTGATACATAACAATAACAAGTATGAATAGTGATTTTGTCTGTTTCATGTGTATCTACATTTATATGTATCATTTTATTTTGCTTCTAGTATCAGAATATAATACCTGAACATCTGCCAACACCAACGAGTAAACACAAACAAGAATATCAGCATAGAAATGCAGAGAAGATGAAGTCAAATATCACATGTCAGCAGTTTCCAAGAAACATGGTGGAAAAAATGGTAATGTATGAGACTTTCTAAAATACTAATGGCATTTAAGAACTTTAATAGAACAAAGGCTCTTGGCTGATAACTGAAAAAGTTGGTGATTTGAATGCAGAGGCTATGAGGATGTGGTCCTGTAAAGATCACAGCCTAGAAAATCCTGAAGGGCACTTCTGCTGGGTCATATGGGGTCACTCTGAGTTGAAATAGACTGGACAGCACCTAACAATAATAGAGATAAAATAAAGTAGTTGCATATAATATGCAAGTATGTGTGACCTAACATACATGGTTCATTCAGTAAAATAGAATGTTATGCAATAGGATATTGTGTGAATACAATATTACATTTCACACAGTCCTCATAAAAACTGTAGTTAAATTTGCATAAAGCCAATTAAATTGAAACCTTGTGCAAGTGCTCTGGACAAAGCCTGAAAGTCTGTATCTACCGGGTACAGGAGACTGGCCTTGCTGGGTGTGTAGCTGGGATAGGGAAGGGGCTCTACTGACAGCTGTATCAGAACTTTGCATACATCTGGATACAGGAGTTGGAGAGTGAGTGCGTGGAGGAGAGTTGTGGAGAATGACAGTGAAGCACCCCTGTTCTGTTCTGAAACTGCCATTGTTCCAAGAGTGTCTTCTGCTTTGTCTTGAGAGACTTTATTTTTTTAAATATGTTGCTTTTATTTAGTATTCACTATCAGTTGCTGTTGAATGGAGTCCAACTCATACCAACCCCGGGAATGTCAGTGATACTATGTCCATAGAATTTCAGTAACTAAGAGTATTGGATCCACTGTATATTGCCAAATATTTCTTCCTAGAATTTGAACCATAAACATTTGGTTAGCAGCAATCTCTTAAATATTTGTGCTACCCATGGGCATGAGTACCTATTTAATATTAGATATAAATATACTAACAAAGAATAAAATGAATTTAGAAAATCATATGAGGTTTTCTAGGCACACAAGAAAAGTCAGGATTGATTTTTTAAACAAACACTTGCAAACACAGTGCATGATATTGTTGTTTGTTGTTATGTACTATCGAGTCAGAAATGACTCCTAGCTGACCTGCCAGTGGGTTTTCAGAGGCAATAAATCACACTGGAGGAATTGCCCATCTTTATTTCAGTGTCTGGTGGATTCAAACTGTTTGCCTTTGGGTTGCCAGTGCAATTCCTCACCACTTGTCCACCAGAGCTCCCTAGTGCATGATCCTACTGGGCATAAAGAAGAGAGTGCTTAGATATGTGGTTCTTATTTTCATTAGCTTTCTAACAAAGTAATGTCTTTTCAGAGAAGTTTGATGATTATACTTACTTAACGCTTTCTGTTGTTGTTGTTATGTGCCATCAAGTTGCCTGTGACTCATAGCGACCCTGTGTACAACAGCCATAAATCCTGCTCTATCCTGCGCCAATCTTTTTGTCTCCAACACACCTACCTCTATTACCTCAGTCGGTGAATCAATCCATCTCATTGAGGGTCTTCCTCTCCTGTGCTGTCTCTCCACTCTTCCAAGCATGATGTACCCCTCCTAGGATTGGTCCCTCCTTGCAACATATCCAAAATATATCAGATGAAGCTTCAGAATCCTTGCCTCCAAGGAACAACCTGGTTTCACCCTCTCCAGGATGACCCTGTTTGTTCTCTTAGGAGTCCATGGTATATTCAGTACTCTTCTCCAACACCATAGAAAGTGATTGGAAAGACTATGGGCTATTTCATGCGCACCTTAGTTTCCAGACTGACATCACTGCTCTTCAGTACTTTGGAGAGGTCTCTGACAGGCTTTTCCAATGCAATTAATTTTTTAATTTCCTGGCTGCTGGTGCCAAGAGTGTTGATTGTGGAGCCAAGCAATCTAAAGGTGTTAACAATCTCAATATTTTCACCATCTGTCCTGATGCTGCCAATTGGCCCAGTGGTTAGAACCTTTGTTTACTTGTTTTTGAGATTCGGTCCACATTGAAGGCTGCAGTGCTTGACCTTCTGCAGTAAGCGTTTCAGGTCCTCCTCACTTTCTATATGTAAGAAAAAAATGATAAATATATTGTTGCTGTTGTTAGGTGCCATTGAGTTGCCTATAGCTTGCAGCATAACAACAATAGCAACACTCTGAACATAGGTTCTGAACCTTGCCCTATCCTTGACCATCTTCATGCTCCCTGATATGTTGTTATGTGCAATTGAGTTAGAACCAACTTATAGTGGACACTCCAGAAGAGTTTTCAGAGGCTATAAATCACATATGAGGAGGCTTTCAATCTTACTACCATGGATTAGCTGATGGATTAGAACTGCATACCTTTGGGTTGTCAGCTCAATTCCTTACCACTCTACCACCAGAGCTCCCAGTCTTTGGAAACTTGAGCCCATTGTTACAGTCACTATGCTGATCGATGTATCTTACTGGGAGTCTTCCTCTCCTTCTCTGACCCTCCACTTTTCCCAGTGTGATATCCTTTTCTGAGGACTGACCCCTCTTGACAGCATGTCCAAAGTAAGTTTAACTCTAAGGAGCACCGTGGATGCACTTCCTCCAAATTAGACTTGAATGTTCTTTTGTCAGTTCATGGGATATTCAATACTTTTCTCTACCAACACAGCTCAAAGGCATCGATGATTCTTCTGTCATTCTTAATCATTGTCTAACTTTCAGATGCATAGAAAGTAATTGATAAGACCATGCTTGATCAGTGTGTCTTGTTCTTTAAATTGACATCCTTGCTTTTTAAAGTAATTTGAAGTGGTTCTTGATAGCAGTTTTCCAATGCAACATATCATTTGAATTCTTAATTTCTATTACCTTCAGTGTTGATTGTGAATCCAAGTAAAATTAAATAGTTGACAACTTCAATCTTTAATGCATCCATCATGTTTCCTGTTGGTCCAGTGGTAAAAATTTTTGCTTATTTACACTTATATGAATGTGTGTGTGTGTGTGTGTGTGTATCTCTATCTTTATCTCTGTATCTCTATCTCTATATGTATATCTCTATCTATCTATATCTAAATCTGTGTATGTTGTGTATCAGCAAGTTGAAACTCACCCATAGCTGACCCTCTAGTGGATTTTCAGGGGCAATAATATCACAAGAGGAGATTACCCATCCTTCATATATTTTCAAATGCAGTTTGAATTTACCAGCTTCTCTGTAGGTGAAAGATCTTCCCACATGCAAGTTGCTGTCTCTGAAAACCTATTAGAGGGCAAGCTATGGGTTGTTTCTAACTCAATGGGATACAACAATTTATATAAATATGTATAATATCATCTACTGATCTGTCGTTCATAGGATTGCTATAAATTGTACTCGACCTAATGGCACCTAACAACAATAACAACAGGTATAATGTACCAGCAATTTTTTTCTTCAAATCCACAATAGGACACATCTAGAACTGAATTGAGGTTCAAAATGGATAGCCACTGCTTTATCCTTTTTAAAAAGATTAGAAATGAGAAAAAACAAAATAAAAAGCTACTGAAAGTTTTTTCAACCTAAACATTATATACCTATACTTGTTGATTGCCTTTGAGTCAAACACAACTCGTAGCAACCCTATGAACAAAAGGCCTGAAGCCTTTCTACAACTATTGTCATTTATCAAATTTCATAGCATTTCTGGAGGCATGTTGTTTAAGAAATGGATGCCATTCCTGCTTCCAAACCTGTCATAGTATGTTATTGTTGTTATGAGCCATTGAGTTGTCTGCAATGTATAGCAACCCTATGTACAGCAGTTCTGAGTCCTTTCCTGTCCTGAGCCAGTCTCACTAATACTGACACACCATTCCCCATTGCCCCGGTTACTGTATCAATTAATCTCATCCAGGTATTTCCTCTCCTGTGCTATCTGTCCATACTTCTGAGCATGATGTCCTTCTCCAAGAACCAACCTCTCCTGGCCACATGCCCAACCTAAGTGGGGTAGAGCTTCAGAATCCTAGCCTCTAAGGAGAAAAGTGATTTCACCCTCTCCAAGACAGACAGATTTGTTTACTTGGCAATCCATGGTATATTTAAGACTCTTCTCCAGCGCCACAATTCGAAGGCATCCATTCGAAGGCATGGCCCGAGGTAGAGAGCTGGGCATGTTTGGGGGGAGGCCAGTGGGGTGTGAACTACTAGTGAGTGATATGATGTGTGGGGGAGCAAAAGTCACTCCTCTAATTGTGCAAGTTTAGCATGGAGGACAAGGACAGATATTGTACATTTTCCTGATGTTTTGGATACTTCTACCACTTCTGTCTTCTTCCTGGATTCCTATGCCATGTAGCAAACTGTTCAGAATGTCTGTATTATGTTGTTTAAGGGTGTGTGTTCTTCTGACCTCCTTATTTGATACTGCATCCACTCATTGAGGTACTTCCTCATCTTTATTTTTAAACTGTTGAATGTAAAAACTATCATCTATATCTGTTTTCTGATTATCATCATCATTGCACAGGTTCTTAACTGCTGTCTAGCTGTCTGTCTGAACTTCTTTCTGTGTTGCATTTAGCTGTCAGTTTGCTATACTGTGGTGACTTGTGTGTTATGGATTTGGAAATCTGTATTTCAAATACTAGCAGGGTCACCCTTGGTGGACAGGTTTTAGCAGACCCTCTAGACTCAGACAGAAGCAAGACTGACCATTCACTAAAAGGTCTTTTAAAATGCTATGAATAACAGAACATTGTTGGATATAGTGTCAGAAGAGGAGCCCCTAAGGTTGAAAGGCACTAGAAACAGCTGCAAACATTCATTAATATTTGGAACATAGAAAATGGGGAAATTGTCAAAAGTAGAGGGGGAATAACACATAATGATCAACATGGTAGGCATAAATGAGCTGAGATGGACTAGTGTTGACCAATTTTATTCAGATAATCATATGATCTACTATGCCAGGAATGACAAAAAGAATAATGGTGTTGCATTCCTAGTCAAAAAGAACATTTTAGGACTTATCCTTAAGTGAAGTGCTGTTGAGTGATAAGATATTATCCATATGCATACA